TTTCAAATAAAGCTTTGTTTGATTAAATGCTTTTTTATTTCTCGCATCAAAGCTTTTGTCTACTTACTGAATAATTTGCTGAAAAAATACTGATCTATACATTTCAAATCTAAATTTTCGCCGTGCAACGCCGGGTAACTCAGCTAGTGATAATATAATTTTTAAATGTTCCAAAACAGCAAAAGTATAATGTAAACTACATAATACCTCGCAAGTTGCTAACTATAGATTAATGTCAACCGCATGAATATAGCATAGCAACTATGAAACAGTATGTCATACATCTATCATTTTCTACGGGCCTTGATATAGGTCGGCCGCATGAAATTTCTTGAAGTTTAGGTGGGTCGTGTTACTAAAAAGATTGAGAAACGCTGGTCTAGGACATTGCATATTTAGTTGGTTTGACTGTCAATATTGAGCGGGTTGATATTCAAGGTGTTTGCTACCTAATTACCCAAGCGCTGAGCGGGTTAGCGAATAGGGCATTGGTTAGCTGATTTGACTGTTACCTAATTATTTAAATGTTGAGTTCCCAAGGCGTTTTATACCTGTTTTAATTGTTACATAATTACTTCAGTGTTGAGTGGGTTAATGTCTAGGGCATTGGTTACCTGCTTTAACTGTTGCCTAATTAATCAAGTGCTAACTACTGGTTTAATATTCGAGGTGTTTGTTGCCTATTTTAATTGTTACTTAATTATTTAAGCGCTGAGCGGTTTACGTTTGGCAGTTTTTTACCTGTTTTAATTGTTACCTAATTAATCAAGTGCTGACTGAGTTCATTTCCTAAGTTTTTGTTACCTAGCTTGATTGCTACCCACTATACGAGTATGTATAACTCAAGTACTGAGCGCAATAACGTCTAAAACATTGGTTATATAAATCAGCTAAGAATCCTGGTGCTGAACGGATTAATCTTTAGCAACTGTTACGGTTTCGAAAAACGGTCTTGAGGAATAGAGGGGTGGCGACGTGTTGAAAGTAAAACAAAACAAACGAAAGAATTAAGAGTGAAAGGAATATAAATGACAGAAGAGTAAATTTAAAAATCGACAACGATGTCACTAAGTTTAGTTAGGACATACCAGTCTTGTCTGGATACAATAGCCTTTTTATAAGACGTTTAAATTTAGAACAATGTCACAACAGACAACTATTAATAGGTTTCCTGAAGTTGCCGTCTCACACAGTGACGCTTCGTCCATTTTTGTCTTTTGTATTAATTACTTCATATAAAAAGCGTTAGTCGTCGTCTCTGCTGGTTTTTTTTTCTTTGTTTGAAGTCAAGCACAAAGCAACACAAAAGGCTCTCTGTGCTCTGCCTACCACGAGTATCGAAACCCGGATTCTAGCGTTGTAAGTCCGCAGACATACCGCTGTGCCACTGGGGGCGTCTCTAGTGTTACTTGAAGACTTCGCTCACGTTATATAAAATTATTTCAACACATAATGAATATTTAAAATGAAACAAAACTAATATTCAACACCGAAAGGCATTATTAATGTTCGTTACACTTATTCTACTCAGTCAATAAG